TGGGAAGGCATGGACAAGTATGAAGGAGCCATCCCTGGTGCTACAAGAAGTTGGTATTCAGAGATCAAAAACGATTACAATTACGCAACTGGTAAAGGAAATGGCCAGGCAGTTGGTCATTTCATGGCAGTGGTTTGGAAGAGCGAGACTAAGCTTGGATGTGGATTGAATATCAAGGAAGGCGATGGTACATATGTGACTGCACACTATGCTCCTGCCTCACATGCTAATTCGAACTACTATGAATTGGCACCAAAAAATGTGTTGGCTCGCAAAGGACCAGGTATACTATTCCTGCTATGGAGTGTTCTTAAACTTCAATCTTTACATTTGTTTACATATTTCCAAGAGAATAAATTCTTTCTGACAAATCATCCAGACAGTTCCCAACCCATTACATAGGCTGAATCTTGTCATCACTTGACGCGGGGCTGCCATGGCGAGATCTTCACGTATTTCTCTTCTTTCAACATTTCTATCGACTTTAAACAATTATTTATTCGTTGCAGAGCCCTCTTGCAATATTCGCTCAGCTGATCGCAAGGATTGTAACGACAAACTAAAGGCCCCATTTGTGACTCCTGATGAGTGCCTGGCCGCAGGCTGTTGTTATGACGATATGTTTATGGGCGAGCCAGTGCAGTTCTTTGAATCAAAAGGGAGGACATGGTGCTTCCTCCCAGAGGGAGGTAATTCCTTATTCTTTCTTAACATTTGCAGAGAGAAAGAGAGGGAGGGAGAATTAAAAGCAATTTAGTGTACTAATCCCGTGGTGTTTTCACTAAATTTGATATTTTTATCTCTGCATTATCGAGTCTATATTATAGTTTGCTTTTCCTTTGTTTACAGGAACCGGCAAGTATCAAGATACGCTATAATCCATCCTTACAACAACTGACAACAACATCCTTATAACAACTGACAACTCACCAATCATCCATCCAATCATGGCATCCATCCATCTATCAGTTTATGACATCCAGCCATCCATCATTCATCCGTCAATCACGTAATCAAATCATGCATTTATTATCCACCTCCTTTAGATGTTTCAGGTGTAAAGACAACTCCTGCTCCACCTTCATCTAGTACTACAACAGCTCCAGCAGGTAAAACACACGCAATCGTCTTTGCCAACGTATCATCTTTGAACTCCATTTGTTTTCAAATTCTAAGATAATCTATCCTATTGAAAGAGTTACTTCCCGCACAAATTTGGATGAATTTGATGAATTCCCAATGTTCAACGTTATTTTGATATTCCCGCCAGTTCGGAAAAATGCGCTCTCTTTGAAATCAGGGGCTTGGCAGTGCAAATGCGACGTCTACTAAGGAATCGTCTCTCGCATTTCCGGAGCCTTTCAGAGGAAATGGTGAAGATTCGAAGATATTCATTTTTGTTATAAACACCTTAAGCCAACTTTCAACAATTCATAGTGGATATATCAAGCGACGTGAGAACTATGGTTCCTTAGTAGACGACATACGCGGCCATGCATTTCGGAATTATCAAGATTTTATTAACTTTAACGATTCTCAAAACAACTCCGAGCTTTTAACTGATTTCCTTGAAGGCACCAAGAAATATTTTCATGGTGGTTTTTCTGAACTTTGGAAAAAAATAGAGTTCATTTGTTATTATTTAAATCTTATTCTCTTTGGCATCGCGTTATGTGCCACAGAAGCACTGACAGTCTGTATTTTCTATTGTTTTTGTTGTTGTTGTTTTTGTTACTTTCTGTGGCAAGTTTTCGTTCAAAACTTACGGTTATTAAATATCAGACAACCTTTAGTGATTATTTTCTTTATGAAGGTAGTATAGCTGCTGCCACCCCGACAGCTTCATCTGCAGGTAATTTACGATATTTGTAGTTCTTTTGTGATTTTGATTTGGATCCCTGCAAAGGCTGTAAATAGTTGATCCTACGAAATATTGTTTCAAATTGTATTTTGATTTACCTATTGTTTTGCCGATGTGACGCATTATTTATATTTCGGATCAAAACGATGTTGACTCCGATTGTTAGGGAGAAAACTAAAGTACCTTGTAAGCTTATAAATTCAGCGTAAGATTGAATCCACTTGGCATAAGCATTTATACATCTGGAGATATTCATTCACATATTGCACAAAACTGACGCTGAGTTCGTATTGTCCAATGCGCATTTCTTGTTGGACTTTACGTTGTTTTCAATTCAAATTGATAGGGAGGTGACTTGCTAATACAGAACTAA